TAATGTACCACGAGAGTGTATCTGTACTTTCTCTGGAACAAATCATAAAAACTCGACTTTGAATCATTTTCCACCATTTTGGTCATAACCTGAAAAACAAAACCCAAAATAAGTTTTTCTTGTCATGGAATGAATATACATACATATAAATTTATAATTGATATATTTACTATAATATAGTAAAACTCACTTGAATTTCTGAGGCTTCATGTAAAATATCAGCATCTCTCCCTCTAAGTCGACGTAGTGAATTTTCTAGTTCTTTGTCCGTACCAACTTTTGCCTACAACATTGAAGTAGTTTAGTTTCAGTTTATGTTTTTTCATGGTTAATAAGTTATGTAATATGTTTTTTTTTAAATATATATATTCGACCAACCAGCCATCTTGGAGACTCTGGTATAAAGAATAAACCAATTAATTGAATGAAGCATGGTAAAGCACCTGAACCACGAAAATATCACAATTTTATCAGTTAATCTGTACACTATATAGTAAACGTTTTTTCTACTGATTTATCATTTACTTCCGTATTTAAACTTAAACTTAAACTTATCTTTTTCGTTGACAATGAAATAATAGTTTTTACCTAAAAGAGCCAAACTCCTCCAAGTGATGAAATTCCCAAAAAAAAAAACCACGGCGGTTCCAGAGTTTTGAAGAAGCTAATTACCATTTACACGAGGATAAAAAGAGTTAACACTCACGAGAAAGCTAACACATACGTATAATATAACACATATTTGAGCTCAGTTTGATATGGATTTCAATTTGAGATTTATCGGTTGTAAAAAGAAGTATGATTTTGAGTTGATGATGGGTATTTTGGATTAGAATCAAGCTCAATTTGAGTTTTCTATATTTGGTTTGGTAAACTTTACAACTTACTTTGGTTTGGCTTATCAAATATTCTTTTTTTTGTTGTAATTCTACATAATCATGTATTCGTAGTTTGATTTGATTTGGTTTAGTGACGGATTAAGTACATCATATATATGGTCGAGCTATCAAACAAAATATTTTGTTTTTCTTCTTCTGTAATTTACAAACGCACTCTGAATCCAAATTTATGATATGGATGTGGGCGATGACTGCAATTATACAAACCAATAGAATATATTGTTGGAACCATTGTGGTCCTACATATATTACAAATCTAGTAACCAAAACCAGTTCTTATAAGTGATGATCCAATAAATTACAGAAGAATAATTCATCTAATCGATAGAAATTGTCATTCACTAGAACCACATAGTTTTTGTACACATTATCTTTTGCTTATATTAATTTATTTATTTTGGATATATTTTTAAAAAAAATCTAAAATTTTATTTGCATATATGAGACAGAAATGTGACCAAACCTCCCAAATTTTTTTGGATTTTGGTATTTCAGGTAGTTACAAGCCGCATATATAAATCTCCACAATTGGATTATTTTTTTGTTTAGTTTTAGCAAAATTTGATAATATCGGTGAGAAATTCTATTTAGCCAAATTTTATTTTTAGCTTGGCTGGTTTGGTTTGTCGTTTTTAAAAACTAACATGTTACCTGGTTTGAAAAGGTAAATGTACCACGAACTTGTTTTGGCGCAATTTCTGCTATATAGACAGGTACCTGTTCGGTAAATAGCATAAACTTGTTCAAAAACAAAAATGTATATAAATGATAAAATAAACGTGTGAAGATGATATTAAGTATATACAAAAATAATAGTTGGGAGTTAGTAAGCTAATTACCACATAGCTAATCAAGCCGATTCCCATCCCTGAGGATATTCTTCCGACGTCCAGCCACATCACATCCTTTTGTGTTCCAGCCAAATATAAATAGCTTTTAATCGTTGGGTTTGTTATAATAACCATAATTTTTTTCTTCAAAAAAGTTGTTTATTGAATCAATTAATTCAATGAAATGACACTAAAGCGAAAACAAATTGAGTTAATAGCGATAAGAAAACATTACATATATTTCATCATTTTAATTTGATTATTCATTTAGCTGTTTTAGAAACGTTAGTTTTGTTATAACATTTTTTCTTATGAAAGTCTAACTTATCATGTAACGTCTTGATAAAAAAAAAGACTTAAAACTTGAATTCCTAAACTCTAACATATTAAGAAACAAAATTTAAGATGAAGTATAGACATGATATAAGCCATAAAAGAAACAAATAATACATACAAAATAAATATATCAATTAAAAAAAAAACACGAATGATATAACAAAAAGTATATCAATTGGAAAAACAAAAATTAGAAAGGTTACATAAATCTTAATTTAAAAGTTTGAAGATATACACAACCATACAAAAATAAAATAAATAAAAAGATCCATAAGAATATTTAGAGTTATAGAATATCACAAAGAAAATAGAAATTTTAAACCTATGACACCATTGGTATTCTCCAAGTTTATATACTGAAATATATATAAGTTAAAAAAAATAATAATATTATATTTACAATTTGCGACCACAAAAAATATTATAGTTACTATTATGTTAATACTGTATAAAGTTTGACATTACTAAGAGAAATAAAACGATGACATTAATAAAATAAATTATCAATCATGTACTTATGTGATGGTTCACAACATTATTTATAGTTTTTATGAGGTTATTAACATAAAATTTACTATTTTCTTATTTAACTATATAGTATTTTAATTTTTTTATTTTTTTATTAGATAATTCATAAATATTCATAATAGGTTAAAATATATATTTTTCTCTCTTATTAAGAATATGATTTAAATTTCGATGATATATATTTTTTGGATTTGCATGATATGGATTAGAACATGAGAATTATGATATAATTTGACACGTTAAATAATATTTTAAAATTCAACGAGTTATTAATTAAAATTTAAATACTTATTTCATTAATTTTTACTCGCGTATTAACGCGGATCCTATTCTAGTATTATATAAGATTTTACCCCACATGAAACATTTCAATAGAAAGAAAACCATTCCTTCCGTAATAGTTGAATGAATAGTAAAATCATCAAAACGTGTAAGAAAAAAAATAGACAAGTAAAATCATGTTATTTTTTGCATTGACATTTTCTTAATTGCGTTCTCAAATCTTTATCATTAGAAATAAATTCTCTTGTTTATTTTCTTAGTAATCATAATTTATACGACAAATTAAGTATGTTAGTGGTTAGAGTTATTGTATAGTACCTTAGCGAAAGCGATGAAGAGCCAACCAGTGATGCAGAGGATATCGGAGAGCCACATTGTCTTTAATCATGTAAAAGCAAATATGTCATTTATAGCAAAAATTTCTATTTCGAAAAGTAAAATTTGTTTATTAAAGATTAGGAAAAGGTAAATTAGTGAATTACTCCTCTTCGGCCGAGGACCATCGCCAATTTACCGCTGAACAGTGCACCGATTGCAGCTCCCAACGTGGACAAGGATCCAAACACTGAAAACTGTAAAACCAATTTCAATTT